CTTCCTTCCTTCCTTCCTTCCTTCCTTCCTTCCTTTCCTTCCTTTTCTCTCTCTCTCTCTCTCTCTCTCTTTCTCTCTCTCTCCCTTTCTCATTCTGTTGCCCAGGCTGGAGTGCAGTAGCACGATCTCGGTTCACTGCAACCTCTGCCTCAGCCTCCCGAGTAGCTGGGACTACAGGCTCGAGCCACTATGCCTGGCTACTTTTTGTATTTTGAGTAGAAACGGGGTTTCACCATGTTGGCCAGATTGATCTTGAACTCCTGACCTCAGGTGATCTGTCCGCCGCGGCCTTCCAAAGTGCTGGGATTACAGGCGTGAGCCACTGCACCTGGCCTCTTTGTATTTATTTCTTTGAGCTTATTGTTGATGTCCAGTTCAGGAGTTTGAGTCTAGAAGGGGCTATTGGATTGCCAAAGGTTGCCAGTCGAGTACAGATGAGCCAAAACTATGGAGCTTTGAAAATTAATTTTACTTCCTGGCCCTTCCTCATGCATGTTTATTCTTTTATTCTTTCATATAAATTGTAGCCATTCAGAAAAGGAGATAAGCAGGCTCACACCTGTAATCCCAGCACTTTGGGTGGCTGAGGTGGGAGGATCACTTGAGGCCAGGAGTTCAAGACCAGCCTAGGCAACACGGGGAAACCCTGTCTCTACAAAAATTTAAAAAAAAAAAATAGCCAGGCATGGTGGCACACACCTGTAGTCCCAGCTACTCGGGAGGGCGAGGTGGGAGAATCACTTAAGCCCAGGAGTCTGAGGCTACAGTGAGCTATGATTGTGCCACCGCACTCTAACTTGGGTGACAGAGCAAGACTCTGTCTCAACAAAAAGGAGATAAAGAATACCCTTCCATGTGTCCCTTTCTTTTTTACCAGTGGAGTGATAGGAATTACTTGAGGTCATGTCTGTGAAACTTGGCCAGAGCTTGAGCCTAATAAATATAACTAGTCCCCCCCAAATCCAGGCTGAACATCCAATTTAGATAATCCTCTGACTTTTGGCTAAGTTCTGACTTAGGTAATTGTCCCTTCTTTCCCTTTCCCCACATTCCCATAAGGGCCTAACTGAGACAGTTCTAAGTTTCAGGAAACAGAAGCCCAAAGCCAAAGCTGAGGCACCTCAAGAGCCGGACTCTTCAGAGGAGTGGGAGAAGAGGCAGTACCTAGTGTCTCAGAGGCGAGTTGAGGCACTTCGGTTCCTAAGTGTACTCCTGAGGAACATTTCAGGAAGGCTATTGCCAAATTGTTCTTCAAGTTTGGTAGGTACTCGCCTTTCTGAGACATTACCTTTGCATTTGAGGAGTGGTCTATTGAAAATTCACTCCATGGAAGACTCATTGCATCCACTGGGGCTTATTTTAATAGGCTGACCTCTAACAACCCAATAGTAGTTTACAAAAGGGATATCCACATTCTCTAAAGGAGTTGCGTCCCAACTCTTCCATTTGACTCTCTCTCTCTCTCATTCTCTCTCTCTTTCTGTTTCTAAACTTCAGGACAGTATTACCCAGAACATTTAGCTAGTGTGTCTACTTTTCTAAGTTCCTAATGGATGTAACAGAAAAATGCCGGAGGGAAGAAACGGATGGGGAGTGGATGTTAGGTGTTATTAACCTTACTTTTCCACTCATCTGCAGTAGGTTTGGTAGAGTCTTGAGACTTGTAACAAGCTCATGATAGTCTAGTTTTAAACTATTTGATAAGAAATTACTCACCCCACAGAGCAATTGTTATGTTTGGAGAGTTTCATTTTTGGAAGGTGTTTCTCCCCGACTTCCTGACCTCTTAAAGATAGCCAGATTCTGCAGATGTCCTGGATTAAAAGCCAGAAAAGCTGCCAAAGTGTTCATTTAAAAATCCATATTCAGTGTTTTAAAATATGAATAGTAAATGCCATTAGGATTACATAAATTTTATGTATATTTGCAATCTTGACCTTTTTCTCATTAGTGTGGACAATCAAACTTAGTGAAATCAGGATCAGAAAAATGTCACATTTACATTGATAATAAGGCTAGCTGGATCTCTTTTCATTTTCCTTAATGACCTCTGAGGGTGACTCCTCCTAAAGAATCTATCTCTATGTGTGTGGTGTCTGATTTCTTGGCCTCGTAAATACTAATATCCATTATTAGAACCTGGGACTCCAGGTTCTAATCCCAGGTAGTGTGTAGGCACTGTGCTCTGATGTGTGTCAGGTGTCAGTGGGAGCACAGTACAAAGCCTCCAGCAGGATGGGGCCCGTGGGCAGCACCTTTCACCTGCTGTGCGGTTATGGAGAGCAGATAGCACTGCAGACATGATTGCAGATAGAACCATGATCACAGCCACATTTGCTACTTGCTGCCTTGCTTTTTACTGAGCACAGGGAGATGGGGAGGAAACTCAGAGACAGCTTTACCTGCAGTCCATAGTAAGAGGCTGGTATGAAAAGAAAGACAGTTTATCTTTTAAGCTAGTGGACCCTTTTAGATATACATTTCACCCGTCAGTCTTTTCTTGTACTGGGATTTTTCTGGGAGGGCTATAGATCATTTCTTATTCCTCTTTGTATCTCCAGCTCCTAGCACAATACCCAGAACATCAGGCGCACTGATTTTCAAACAAGTGAGAAAAGAGTCATGTGCTTTGAAGGCTATGTAAAGTGTGGTGCCTTCTCACATAAGCATGGGCATAGACCTACTCAAAACAGTTCATATTAGACTAAGACATTTAATTTTGCCTTCTATTTCCTTAGTGCAATATTGTTCCTAATTTGGATCTATCCCAGGTATTAGAAGTCTCTTCAGAACAATGTCAGAAAGCACAATTTGTCTTTGGAATTTTTTAATCTGTTTAGTTTTTCATGAGAGATTTTTAATCTTTTTCTTTGAAGGGATCCACACAGTTTAACCCACAGGAGGTCGACATTATTGGCACCAAAGCTAATGCTTCTCGAGGGAACACATTGAAAACTCTGGAGGAAGAAGAGCTAAACACTCTGCATCTTCAAAATCAAGAGGAAATATCAAAATATCAGGTTGCCAAGTCAGACAATAAGCAAAAACAAAAAATGGAGAAAATAACTAGGGATCACTTACAGAAATCTTCCCACTGCCTTGGGGAAGAAAATTTAAGGTATTCCCCTAGAAAACAGAGAACTGGAATATTATTAGGTGATGAAGAATATGAATACAGTTTGTTTTTTGAGCATAACTCCTTGGAGATTACGATAATTAAAGGCCAGTCTCTTGAAAATGAAGATCACCACGGTTCTAGTGAATCCTGTTCCAAATTATCTGGGAGAGGCCAAGGCAGGAAACCTAAGATCCATGAAACAGATGCATTTTTTGACTATCTTTTCAATTATTATGAAGCTCCACAATATACTCGTATCTGCCTAGAAACAAGTCAGGTAGCAGGCACATGTCAGTGGCAGAGGGATGTCCAAACTAAGGGAGATGGATTTCAGATTAGTTTGAGAAAGTGTAGGCATCACTCAATCAATTCGAGCCAAGGGGAAAACCTGGAAAGGAAAGAACAGGTTCAAGAAAATGATTACTCATCAAACGTTTGTACTCAGGATCCTGAGCATAAACGAGGAAAAGTAGATTATGCCAAAGAATGTACTAATGGGTTTAAAACTCATTGCCAGGAGACAGCCCATAAAGCTGGTGGTCAGCTGTCCCCAACTGATGGAAACAGCTGTCTGTTGGAAAAGACTCATACTTATATTGAAGATTCCAAATCCACAAGGAAAAGCCAAGTGTCCACACCCCACGAGTCAATAGGCTTAGATTTACAGTTGACAGATTTCTTAGAGGAAATTAGTAGTGATTCTGAATGCTTCAGTGAAACCCTTAGTATAAACAAAGAGGAGAAAGAGAAATCTGTGGCCACATTTAATAGTTTCTCAGAAAAAGAACCTCTTGACACTGACAAAATGATCACACGCAAACAAAATACAAGGTTGAGTCAGCAGACATTTTTTTCACAGTGGAGAAGTGATGGTGAGGAAAAATACTCTAATTACAGGTTTAGGACACCAGGCAGGAAGTCTGAGTATGAACCGAAATGGATATGTTCATGGCGTAGGGGTGAAAGTCATTTCATTACACATGAAAACAACAATGACCAAATGAAGGAACAGATAGCTCCCAAATACTTGTTTGACGAAGATTACTACCAGGAACCCAGTTCCAGTTATCCAGAGGGGAGGTTTAGTGATAGTGCATTGGATCAGAAAGTGAACTATGGGCCCTCTCAGGTGCCCGTAACGTCATCAAGAAGGGCTAGGTCTTTCTATTTTGGTAATTTTCACAGAAGAAGAGGGACTCCTTGGAAGTCAGAATATAACCAGAATTCAAGAAGGTTTAGAGGATGTAATTATAACTATTTCAAATTCAATTCTGATTATCACTATAGTAGACAAAATGGTCAGGAGTATATTGACTATGGAAGCTATTCAGGAAATAACTGCACTGGTTCTTTAAATTTTGAATGTTTTGATGGCCACTTAGATCAGGAGTATCTTTTTTCACAGTAAATATGTTACAAGAAGAAAATTTAAAACCAAATGTAGCCATGTAATTAACAACTACACAGCAAGACAGCAGCATTTAAAAGCTTCAGAACCTGTGTGTTTTATATTTCCAAAGCTTGCCAATACACCTGGAGTCATTTTGACCTATGCTTTCAACTTTGGCAAGAGAAATAATGTTTTGTATTTGACCCTGCTCAAGCTTTTAAATGCTACTTGATCCAAGGATAGACATTTCTATAGTTCAACTAAAACTTTAATTCTATGCCAGTGAAGGAGCAGATTAACATCGAGAGGGGTTGAGATGGCCCTCTATGGCTCCTTAGGTGTCACAACATCATCATTCAGTGTCATTTATCTCCAAAGATGACAACAGTGAAAGAATAATGATCCTTTTACATGTTCTTTGATTTGGTCAGAAACACCACGTGCAGCAACAAACTTTCCTGAGTTTTATTTAGAAATAATTGTAGAAAAAAGAGACGACAGTTAGAACATAGACTTCTTCATGACATTAAAGGGTTGCATGAGCATCCACCAGGAGCAAATTCATCTTACTACTACATTTAAATACTGAAAGAGTTGTCTTTTTCAAGACAAAGTCTTGGAAGAAGAATCTAAAAGTGGTCTAGATTGTCCTTTGAGGTTTAAGTGGATAGTATTTAAACCCATTAGCAGAGTTTTTTTTTTTTTTTAAGAACCCCCATATCTTTCCATTTTAGAAAAACAGCATGATTGAAGTAATATAACCAGTGGAATTTGCAAAAGGAAATACTGAAAAATTGTGGGGCACCAATAATGTCACTTGAAAAGAGAGGATGTGACTATTCCACTTCAGGTTATGTAATCCTTTCACTCAGGGCTGGGTTACATCAGTCTGTAAAAAGTCACTGAATATCCCCCAAACTGAACTTTATTAAATAGTAACAAGTGCCTCTCTTCTCAATCCTTAGTGATGCCACTGAGTTTTTAAAAAGAGTCAAGGGAAAAGCCCATAGTTTTGTAGCTGGAGAAAAATGTGTATGTGTAGGATTTGTAAACTCTCAACATAAGCAATTGATCTTTTTACCTACTAGTTTTTGACTTCATAAATGTTTTTAAATTGGGATATTTTATGGATTCTTGAAGACTTACATTTTAGTGCAGTGCATGTTCTATAGAAAGCTCAGCTGATTCATTCTGCCTTACCTTGTATTTAGGACCTCAGGGGCAATAGATTGCCTTTTTTTTTTTTCCTCCAACAAAACTATGCCTGACCTGGTAATTGAAGACATTAACGAGATTAGAGACTGTTGGCAACAGGAAAAAGTGATTTTAAATCCACAGAAGCAGTAAAGGGCAACACTTTGATATGACATGATTCATTCATACACCCTTAATTTGATATTCTGTAGTAAAGTACCCGCTGGTAGAGCCAGGTAGAATGCCAGTCATTGTAGCTGCCCAGATTATCACAATGTGTGCATATAATCAGCCTTTTGAGCAACCTGGTATGTGAAAGGGCTACAAAATCTTATTTATCTGAAGGAAGAGCCAGAAGTTGTTTCATCGATCTCTTCTAATCATAGAGCTATGTTAGTACATGCAAGAAGTCAGAAATGAATGTACCATAGCAGATGCTGTTTATTATTAATAATATAATAACCAGTGGATGATTTGTTGGCTCCCTTGGGTTCAATTCCACTTTCAAGCCAATGACTCTTCCATCAAAACTAGATTTGGCTTGTCAAATCTGAAAAACACCGCTCATGGGGCAAGTGCCTTGACTTAATGTTCAAAGTACTGTTGTCCAGAGTAGACTTTTAAACTACTAACAGCTTGTATTTTGTCAGGCAACTTTCAGTAACCAGGTATTATTTTCCTTTGACGAAAACCTGCCTCTTAATTTTTCATGTGTCATGCCATTAAAACAAAGAATATTATGGGTTTGTAATGAGAAGCAGCTATGCTTGTTTTGAAAAAAACTCATTGTCACTTGATTTTTCTTTGCAGAGATTTTGGACATGAAAACAGTTTGCTGCTCAGTAGTCAGACATAAAAATAAATTGCAGAGTACAGCATGTGCAATTTTTATGTGTATTAGAACTGGTGCTAAGTCATTTCTATATAACATTTTTGTCTCTTTTTTTTCCTAAATACCATCCTGGGACTTAGAAGAAAGTAAAAATACTGGTTTTATGTTTACATTCTGAATAACCCTAGACTTTTATATGTCTTATAAAAGAGTCAGCCTTTTTGGTGTGTAGGCCCTAAATGAGGAAGACAACTTATCCTGTACTTTTTAATTGAATGGCTTAGTAAGGAGTAAAATAGAACTAAAATATTGTAACCACCTTCTTAATGAACACTGCTATTTTTTGTTGTGCTAAGTAGTGAATAAGTGTTTTCTCATATCTTTTTCTATGTCCTGTTAAGGGTCTGAACTTTAATCTTTGTCTTAAGGTATTTTCATGTTTTTCGTTGTATGGGTTGCTGGTAGTAATGCAAAAAGACTAAAAATATGTCAATGTGCTTTCAATTTGTTTAAATTTCTCAGGTAGAAAGCCATGTAACCTGGTAATTTTGAAAATAAGAACCAAATAAACATATTTTTACTTGTTGCAAAATTGTTTAAAATACTCATTTTTAAATAAATGCTGATAAGTCCACCTTTGGGGGAAAGTTTCTACTTACAGTATGCTGCTTTGTGCTATTGTTGATGATCTCTTTTCTCATTTGCATTGTTAGAGAAGTAATACATATTCAATTGTCAGATATATTAAAAATAATCATAGTGAATATTATTTGTTCATTTATCACATGTATTGGCTAGCATGTTGCACATCCACAATAACATTTTCTGTGGAAATACAGATGCCTGATTTTAATATCGTTTCTATGTCACTTTTCCTGTTTTGTGGAAACTGACATTGTCAGAGTTCATGGGACTAAAGACCATAGTTTTCTTTTCATTTTGGACAAACTGAAATCATGATATTTAGATTTAAGATGATCCTCCCTTTAGCACATTTTATCAGTGCTAATAAGAGGTAGCAAAATTGACTCCATGGAATTTCACCTAATTCCTTCAGCCCTGGGTGTCTTGGGCCACACATAAAATACACTAACGACAGAGCGAGACTCCGTCTCAAAAAAAAAAAAAAACTAAAAAAAAAAAAAAAAAAAAATTGTAAAAAAAAAAATCTCATGTTTTAAGAAAGTTTACAAATTTGTGTTGGGCTACATTAAAAGCTGTCCTGGGCTGCATGCAGCCCGTGGGCCATGGGTTGGACAAGCTTGCTCTAGATATTTTCCTCTTGGCCTGTTTAGCTTAGCCTAATCTTCACATGCACATGAGATTTCAGGCTGCAAAGGTGGGCCCAACTTGTCTTCCCCACTCCCTCTCCAAAGCATAAGGCATAACATGTTACATGGCACAAAACAGGCACTCAAACATTTGGTGAATGAAACCAAGTGGGAAAAAAAAGAGCACATTAAAAAAACTCACAAGTACCTGCAATGTGGTTTGATAACATGAAAAATTGAAATTTCTTTGGTTCAGGGAGTATATCTCTTGTAAGAAAACTCTGCCAATGTTAACATTAAAATGACAAAACACTAATAGGTTGTCTTTGTTTATACAACTGACTGCATATGCAAATCTGTTATTCTTCTTTTGATATGAGGTGAATTAACTTTGCTACTGTAAGGATCCTGATACTTTCCTGATCAGGAAATTCATTAACATAAAAAAACCCAAAACCCTTCCTTAGTACTTGGCAATGACAAAGTCTTCAGTAACACTACTTCTTAAGAACCTGGCTATAGACTTCAAGGTGGAGATCTGCCATTTACAGTTTAGAAAGTTCTGATTTAGGCAAAACTTTGACAAGTCACAAAAAAAGCAATTCAATTCACTATGTCTTAACAGGACAAGCTGGTATTTGGTTTTTGGTGTGGGGTCTCCGTGAAATTTTGCCGCTTGTTTCTTTTGGAATACAAAAACTCTGCACTCAAAAGTGAAACTGAATTTTAAGCCAAAGTAAAATGTCTGAATCAGATTCCCTAGAATAAGGTTTTTTAAAAAATTTAAATAAGTCACCACACTATAGTGGGTAAAACCATTTTTATTAACTGACCAAAGCATATCATTTTGTTTTCTGATTTGAGGTAAAATCATTAAACACAGTTCACAAGAAAATACAACGACTATTTAACCACAATTACAAGAGTTTGAAATCTCACTAGCTGTTCATATAATACTTTTACAAATTCATACAACTGTATAGTCTACTTAAGCTTAGTGTTAACCAAAAGAGCAATATCAAAGACCTAGACACTTGACTACTACTTTTGCAGTGGGTATAGTTTTATGACAACAGAATAACTGTTACCTTATGAATATACTTCACTTTAAAATCCACTCGGCTAGTGACTGTACTGTTTCCTCGTGGTTCAGGGGTGCGCATGAAGGCTCTTAGGAGAGCAAACACCTGTTCCTATTCTGTATGTCCCTCCCTCATTTCAAATGAGAATAACCAATTGAGGAAAATAACCAAATAACCATTGCCCCACCATGAACATGGGGCTTGGGAAGACAGTCCTACAATCTTCACCATATATTTAGGTTTTTAGGCCAGCCAGCTGTTTTTTTTCAAAGCTTTCTTTTGAATGTTCAGATCCTATTTTAATCCTAACTATAGACTACTGTGTTTGTGAAGGTGTCTGAGTGTCTATGTGAGGGCAAGGACAACAATGCAGTCCAGAAACACAGAAAATACGCTTTTTTGCAGCTGAGCTCTGTTTTGAGATTTCATTTTGTTACTGGACAGTGCTTTAATCAATACCAAAGTCTTTGGAACACTGCAGATTTGCTTTAGAGGTAGATAAAACAGAAATCATGCAGTTAAGTCAATTGAGAAAAAAAAAAGGAATTTGTTATCTTTAGAGAACATCATGACTAAAAGTTGATCCTTTGTTCTTGGTGCACATTTAAGAGTTTTTGGGAAATACCCAAGTCTTCCTTG